TGCTTATACGATGCATGTGAGGCCAAAACTGCAGTTCACTTCAGCCGGGATGAGAACACTTTTTGTGAAAGCAAATTAATGTGAAATTGAATGGAAGCGTCAGCTCTACTCAGAGCATTGTGGGAAAATTCATCTACCAGTCCTTCGTCACCTTACCCGACTTTGGGTTGCTAGAATGTATGTTAGTATTTAAAGTCTTCCCTTGTCAGCCTGTCACTTGTGCATCTCTTTGTATTCCGTCGAGAAGCCCTTTTAATGTCTTTAAAGTGTTTATTGCACTTGCTGGACATTATGGAAGAGATCGAGCTTCATTGTGCCTTTTCGCTTGCCTTCATTGCATTTCCCTTTCATGTGCTCTCTCTTCCAGCCGTTATGGCCGTCAGGAGTCGCTAAGTCGCGAACGCACAGCCCTCTTTTATATCCGTCCGCCCCGTCCAGGCGCCTACAGGCTGCTCATCTACGCCAAACTACAGCAACATGCACAGACCTCGGCCTCTTCTGCCTCCAGCTCGTTGAACGACTCGCCTCGGGCGCTCTCGCTGACTGGCCTCTCGGACGTGGCCAGTGCTCATGGCGGCGGCGGAGGTGGAGCTGCTGCCAATGGCAGCTTGACCACCTCTGGGGTCGGAAGCGGACCATACAGCGCGGTCTGCGAGTACCGTCTTATGGCGCGTTTCACACGCAATCAATCTCTGCCTCCCTTTCCTCCATGCCATAACGCCAGCTACGGACCCAACGAGGTGAGCACCGGCCGATTCCAGCTGAACCCCGCCAATTTGTGGGGACATCCTAAAATGGTCACACGTCTGTCTGCATGTCCATATGTATATATGTATGTATGCATGTATCTATGTATGTATGTCTGTCTGTCTAAGAGGTGTATTCACTTTATTCCGTCTAAGCTGATGTATTCACCCCATTTCGTTTAAGGTGATGAAGGACTGGTAGTTGAATTTTATCACAATCATATGAGTAGAGCTGATCTTTTCCATTGCATTTCACATAGCCTTGCTTTCGCAAAAGATGTTCTCATTCCGGCTGGAGTGGACTGCAGTTTCGACCTCGCCTCGCCTGGACTTGATCAACACATCCCCAGCGGAACTCGAACCATGACATTATAACATACGATCTCGACATATTAACCACTACGCCAGATTGCCACGAGTACTCTTAAGTCAGAGAGCAGATATGAATTTTAGGGAAGGCCTGGTTTTTTCCATATCACATTGTTTGGTGGGAGTGTCGATGAAGTAAGGTTATATTTGCTATAGCAATCGCATGTCTGTATATATGTTTGGGTGCATGTATGCATGTCTGTATGCTTGAGTGTAATGTACGTATTTATGCATCTTTATTCATTGTTTATTATGATTCCTAGAC